GCTGACATAACTTCGGTGTTAATTAAGGTGTAATATATTAACATGACATATATGATTGTTCCTTAAATAGAATCTTGCATAATGTGCATTTGAGAGTGTGAAGCCCTGTCCTATTTTGGTGAATATTTCTAATTCTAGTTATGTGTATCAACTTGGCTCAGATAGTAAGTGGCATGCTTGCTTATGATTCAGAAGTGTGTGGGATTTTGCTGGTGCAAAATGACTGGCTCTTACCTTTACAGTATATTCTGTGAAGCGCTTTGAGACGTCTTATATCAAATGTAAGGATAATTATTATTATCACCTACCCTTGACCGTGACTATTGATGAAACACCTGGAGATGTTTTGACTTTTGAAATATTCTTTCTTCAATAATACGTTACAGAAATGAGGCAATCTTTTTCTCGCAGGAAAAATAACTTATTTTCCTTCAGTCATTAATCGTGAAAAACAGATTTCATAATAGTAGCGAACTTCAAGACCTCAGTACCTTTTTCAGGGAAGAGACTGTGTGAATTAAATCTCTTAATCTACTTTGTATGTAGGCTTGCACAGTTTTGTCTAGATTCAGACACGTGAAAGCAAATGTAATTTCACAAGGATATGGTTTTCTTGTTAAGAAATGCATCAAGGCTTGATGTCTACCGTATATCTCCTACCATGAAAAGGTACTTTTAGAATTGCCAAACAATGCAACAAAGCCTTTTGAAAACATTAATACAAGATTAAAGAAAATGTACTAGAAATTTGGACATTGTATGATTTTTTTTTCCCCCCCAGCAGAGATTACTTAATTTACAAAATCACCCTGTTGTTCTTTCATGTGCATATAAAAGCACTTTGAAATCAAGTTCTCTTCACGTCAAAGCTTTTCCTACATTATGTAATCAAATGGAATTCATTGCAATACAGCTCTCTTTTGTTATATGCTGTTTTGTCACAATATATTGTGCATTAGTTTCCATTCAGTATGCTCTGGTGAAAACCATGGTGTATTTTTCCTCCTGTTGGGTAATTTTAGGTACAGGAAGAAACTTGAGAGTTTCAGCCTTAACAAAATACTGCAACTTAAAAAGACAAACTATAGTTTCCCTCCTAACACTGCAGGTGGGTAACACAGATTAAGAAAGCGTAGTTTAAAAACTACATATAAAGCATTTAAGTGAGACTTGGAAGTCAATTGAGTCCAATTAAGTTGGGACATCTACAATTTTTCCTCTGCTTCTAAGACTTAGCATACATGGGGGCTATTTAATTATGGGGTTAAGTTCTTTACCTCCAGTGATGTCTGTGTTAAGAACTACTCGGCATTTGCACCGAGTAGTTCCCATTGATTTTCTCAGAGGAGGGATGAAAGGGAAGTAACAAGCCACAGGAGAGAACTCCACACCAGCACTCCCGTGTCAAAGCCTTGGGGCTCATATTAAGCGTGACAACAGTTTTTCACTCCCATAATGAATTCTCTAACAGTCGTGGAAAGGAGATAAGAGTGATACAATTCAGCCAGGAATATTATGGAACACCCAATTAGTATTAAGCGACAAGTATAAGCCAGCCTTAGTCTCCGTGGATGTGTAAGTGTGACGTGAATAGCTCTCCAGTTAGCCATTCACTCATTCTCAATATCCATAGAGCATTAAGAACTAACTGTATATCCTACTACAATAACTAAACACCATAACAATGAAATAAAAGGATATCATTTACAAATAACAGAATCATAGCAAAGTACAGATGCAAGGAGGCACTTTGATCATTGAGTCTGCACCAACTCTCAGAGCAGACTGTCGATTCAGTCCCAGTACCCTGTCACGGTTACCCTGTTTTTGCACTCCTTAGTAATATGTATAAATAATATATACATTACATTAGAATATACAGCACATAAACAGGCCATCCGGCCCAACTGGTCTATGCCAGTGTTTATGCTTCACATGAGTCTCCTCCTGCACCTTCCTCAACTAAGCCTTCAAGCATAACCTTCTATTCCTTTCTCCCTCATGTACCTGTCTAGCTTTCCCTTAAATACAACTATGCTATTTGCCTATTTGTCTATTATTAGGTCTTAATAAACAGCTGTTTTGTTTACCGATTGTATCCTCGAGTCTCTGCAAAGTTCTAAGACACGAAAAGGAGTAAATCACTTAAAGAGTAGCTGTTGAATTGTTAACGGTTCTGGCAGTGTGGACTGACCCCGATTTGACATCCCAGTTACCGGGCATTGGCGTTAACCGGGAATATCTGCGAGTGACTGATTCTGACTCGGTTGAGACACCTTTGAGCAGGGATTCACTCTGACGAGGTTAGAAAAGAGCAGCAGCCATTTAGTACATAAGCATTACTAAAATTCGCAAGTACAACAAGGAGCAGGAACCGTCGCAACCCCACCCTATCTGCGTAAGGATATAGTAACGTAATAAGGTTAATGTGTATTGTGCATCTGTTTACTAATCTTTTTAGATCCATATTTAGAGACTTGCTTCGTGCACTACAAGGTTTGTTCACTTAACAAGAATGGCGGTACACTTTTCAGTGAATCTTGTGAAGCTCTTTGAGACACCCTCCCTGCATGAAAGGCCCAGTATCAAAAGCAAGGAATATTTTTTGATTAGATTTGCGCGCTGCAATTGAATGGAAAATGCTGAGGCTGAGTGAGTCGAGATCTTGTGCATTATCCAACATATTAGTTGCTTCACTGCTCATCAGAAAATGTCCACTGAGCGGGTTGCCTCAAGAGTCTGTGCATAGCAGCAGTGATAAATTACTACAGCCGTAGTGCATTACCATATTACAGCATTTTTGGTGCACAATTTCAGATTCCTTCATAGGCTTGGATAACCTTGTTTAACATCAAAGTGCGTTAGTTCCGTGTTCGTACTCGTTTACTGGATGTGGTGCTGTCACAACTGTTTGGAGGAGCTGTTTTCTCAAGAAGCAGAAATTAAACTAATGAAGTCAGCGGGGATAAGGAGTTGGAGTGAAAGTGGGCGAAGGATGGCGGTTATGGAACTTGACGTTGAGTTTGACAACTGATCATGGAAATGGGGAGTAATAGGGTACAAAACCTATTATTCTCTCTTTTCTCATTTAAAATCCAATATTTTACGCACTGTTAATTTCTTAGCCTAAAATCAACAGTTACATCCAACTGTGGACGGTAACTGCAGTCATGTGTATTTTTTTATTGTCCGTTTATCTAGGGCAGATAGCTATCACATCTGGACAATTGATCTGTTCAGCACTTGCCTACTTGAGAGATTTCCAAAGGAGGTTGAGCCAGTGACCATAAAAATTGTTACTGGCTTTTAAGAATATAAAATCAAACCCAAGATCTGATGAGATCGACTTTTACATTGATTTGTAAGATAATTCTAAGTGCACTGAATGAAATTGAATGTCCATTCTTTCCTTTCCCTTTTCGGAACTCTCGTCTCACCAAACTGACACTTTATTAACCGGAAAGATTAATATGTTCCAACGTATGTTTTTAATCACGAAGACGTTTCTTTGTGAGTAGTGATTCTGGATGAGTACTGAAGGTTACTATTCTGGAACTCAAGTTATTGATCCCTTTCCCACATGCTGTTTGACACTAACCTTACAGTCATAGTGATGTTTTGCTCAGCAAGATACAGGCCTTCCAATATTTTTTATAGATCCAAGATGTTACGTGTGCAGAATAGCCAGAGATGTTCTTTAAGAGTGTCGTGAGAGAGTTTGTGGTCATTGCTAAGATATTTCTTACATATAAAATACATTTGAAAAGAAGATCCTACAGAATTGTAAGATATTGTAAGCAAGCTGGTTGTTTCACCACACGCTTGAGCAAGTCCAAATCAATTCTATCCATTTAAGGTGTTACTTTTAACAGGAGGAGTCAATTTAGTCGTTGGGTGGCAGAACATTTTTTTATTGTGCAGTTTCTAGCCTTGAGTCGCTTGTTTTAAGGCATCAATGTTTTCAGACAGTTTTGACAGATCAATAGTGAGTGTCCAGTCATTTCAATGGCCCTCTGTTTAGGCAATATCTTGCTTCTAATAAAAACGTGTTCCTGTTTGCCGGGTTGCTTCACGAGAGAAAACCTTTCAATCGGATTGAAATATAATCCTCTCTCTGTCCATTCTCTTTGGTCATATTTTTTCCCCATCTTTTTGCTGGAACATTGCATAAATCTGTTTGCCCAAGTGGCTTATTTCCATTTACTGAAGAGTGGGTAGGCTTACATTTCAACAGACATCTTACTGAATGTCTTAAGTTACTATTGTCAGTAAGTGGACATAAAAGTGGAATGGGATATTCAGCCTTGGTAAATTTGGTACGATAGTTAATCAAGTGAGGGAGATTAAGGGGATTTTTTTTGACGTACATCTGCAGTGCCCTGTGGGTATAGTGCTTGAGACTGAATGGGATATTATTTTTCAAGAGGAAACTAGAATAGATTGATTGTTTACAATGAAGAGCTGGCAATAAACAAGGCAAGAGGGAGATTGGGTAGCAGGTTCCCACCATGACTGAAGCTATAAATGACAAATCAAACAAGTTGTACTGAATGACCTTTTTTTTTGTTGCAAAAATAGGTTTATTGTAAACCCATTTGCTAGCAGTCTGAAGAAAATAACCTTACTTATTCGTGATAAGGAAATATTGTGAATAGTGAAATATGCCTGAATTAGTTTGATACCAGAATTTTCTTTTGACCAACTAAAATTGGGGGTTAATAACATTCAGTGGAAATGAATAGTTTGAAAATACATTAGTTCTATGTTTTGTACTATCCAGTCCTGCAAAATGAAAAAAGCAAAACCTTTTAGCACTACAGTTTGACCCGTACCATATGAATTCACCTTTATTTTATTGTAGAATTCGTAATGTACCTTCCGGTTGAAGTATTCCCTTTTGTACAGCCATGCTGGAAAAACACATATTTAAAGTAAAGCCAATTTCCTCTAGAATTCCTCTTGTTTAAAAGCTGTTTATTTTTATACACTTTCATTTGCAGATGGTTCCCACATCCTAAACTCCTTTACGCAGAAGTCACTGGTTAATTTGACAATCGTGAAACTGATCGGACATTGATATGGAAAAGGGATCTCGCACTTTCAGGACAGTTTAAGAGGTAAGATCCACCTGCTTTTCATGTATAAATGTTTTCAGAAAAAAAGCGAAGCCAATTAAGATTGCTAGTTAAAATGTTACGATGCTTTTAGGGTATTGGCTATTAAGAAAGTAATTTTCCCATTTTCATTAGTGAAGCTTTGAATAGAGACCTCCTGACCATAAAGTGTAAGATCTCAATCTCGTAAAAAGGGTCCTCTTTCCTACATGATTTGTTAGTATATTCCCAAGGGCTGTTTCCCCCTCCTGAGTTAAAGGGGAACATAGCTTCCCTCCCAGTGATCTAACCAATAAAGGATAGAGTTTGGAAATGTTACCTTCTAGGTTTCATGAGCATCTAATTTTGAGGTCTCTCCATGTGATTTTCTGTCCTTAATTCTGAAAGGTTTGTCTGATTAATTCTTGAACCACTACAGGAACCGTCGAACTTCTTTGAGATTAAAAGAGAGAAAGTAAAATAAACTGAGCTCCACTTTTCCTGTTCAGGTTGATGCTAAAGACCCCATGGCACTCTTCGGAAAGAGAGGGGAATTTCTCCTGGTGTCCTGGCTACCGATCCCCCAATAAAATTGGTCATTCCCATCATGGCTGTTTGTGGGGCATTGCTGTGTACAAATTGCCTGCTATGTTTACTTACAAATTACAGTGAGTACACTTTGCAGTATATCCTGTGAAACACCTTGAGATATACCACTGACATTAGAACTGCTATACAAAACATAAAGATGATTGATTATATTGTTATAATTGGATTCATGGTATTTTATATCAAGTTGATAAGTCACACAGCTTCTCTTGCACAGATGAGCTTAAGCAGAAATCGACTTGTCAACAGAATTTATAGACAACTGGCTAATTATCCAGCTCTTTCTGAAAGGCAGGCTTAATAAATAAACAGTTGACCGACCTGCATCAGGAAATGTCAAGTGACTTCTCATTCACTCATTAGGCACTTGCTATATCGGTAACTGTAACGATCATAGTTGCCATTAACATTTTTACTATGACCTGCTTCAGTGAATAGTTTTCCTGGTAATTAAAATGTATTAAGACCGATATTGTTCTATAAGATCTCTGACCAACAAAGTTGGCGATGAACAAGTAGAATTCAATAAAGGAAGGCATCATAACCGTAATAAGACCAGGTACACCACAGCAAACACCTACCCATTGGGACCTACCCATTGCGATGCACTTCATATTCTGTTGAACAATCAAACTCTTATCTTTTTGATACATCCTTAGCAATGGGATTTTCTATTGTAAAGATGTAGTAAAAAATGCTAATGATTGGGTAAGATATACCTCTGACTTTATGTGTAATAAAGCTCATATGTATCTAATATGTAGATATATATATTAGGATCATTTGAAATTTCCGAACACAAATTGTGAAAAATGGTTTAATATAATATTAATGGTTTAATTTAATATTGTTGGGAATACATAACACACTTTGTTGACTGTGCATTTGTGCAATATTTTATTTTGTTTCTATTCTCTGCTTCTATTACTAATTATGATTCAATAACAATTGGGCAATTGGAAGGGAGATACGATTTTGTTTTAATTTCAGGGAACATTAGAGCGAAATTCTAGAAAGGGATCTATGTAAGGTTTCTGCATCTTGTTTTCTTTGGTATAGAATTTTTTTTAAGCATGCATAGTAAAACTGCTTGCAGCTTATAAATACAAATACATATGGTTTTGTAGGGCTATATTATGCTAAGTACTGATTTTTTCGAAACCCCACATTTGTTCTGCATTATTAACAAATGTCACTTAATAATAATTCTTGCATTTGATGAAGCGCCATTCAAGTCAGGAGGATATCTCAATTGCTTAACAGGATAAACTATAAAGTGGCTTGACTGCATTTTGTGGGTGAATGTCAATGCCAATTTGCACACATCAATATCCCCCACACAAAAATGAATTTAGGTGGGTTGATAGATTGTATCTATTAAGAAGGTACTTAATGTTTGAATGTTAGCAGACAATAAATATTTGGTACTTGGCAGTTTGAAAAACTGACCTCCAATACAATAATTGATATATTGGTTGCGAAAGGCATATTTCTTCATATTTCTGTTTTTTAACTAAGGAAAACATGTCGCACATTTGACTGTAACAGGTGCAAAAGTACAATTACAAATCCTGTGGTATGAAAATAATACAATGAATTTGATTTGATTACTAGAAAATTAGATATCGTGATTGGAAATGGGCATAATATTAGAATTCAGAAGGTACTGACAAATGGAACAAGCTCTGTCTGGGATTTGAAGCAGGACACTTCCACTAGTTGACTTCCATAGGGGTTTGCTCCAGATTTCTGCTACTCACAATATTCATTCTCTCAATGTATGTAATGTTTGATGAGGATACTAAGCCATGTGGACAGATAATTAATACACGGAAGATAAATGGCATTAAAGATGATATGAACTAATTTAGAAGATTGGGCAAGCTATGGCAGATAGATATTAATGTAGATGAATATGTAGGTATTCAATTTTTAACAGGAAACCGTAAATGTCTGAAAACAAAGAGATTAATGTGTGGGGGAAGAAAGAAATCAGGATGTGATTATTCGTTGAAAGTCAATTCCAAGCTGTTGTTAACAAAGCTAATGCAAATTTTCTCTGTGAAACTCTGAGATGTTTATTCTAGCTGATAAATGTTTGGATACTCAGGTTTGGACAGTGAGGTTTGGGTACTCGTATGTTATGGTAATGAGTTTCTGCATATGTCAGACACCCGGCCGACTTAAAAAAGAATTAATGCTATACAAATACCTTGTTGGAATCGGATACCAGGTTGTAACGTGTGGGTCTTTGACTGTAAGTAAAAGTAAGCTATTCCAAAACAAAGTGGACAAATTGGCAAGACCACATTTGGAAAACTATCATTTTTGGCATTGCACCTTCCAAGGAACATTAGGGCAAGATTCAGAGGGGAGTTTCCCGGATTTTTCTGGGACATAAGGTCTTCAATTCTGTGAATAGGCTCACACAGCTGAACTTTTCTTTGGAAAAACAAAGATTTTAATGTCAATCTTTAAAGTGCTCAAGGAGATAGATGAGCTAGATTCAAGTAGGCTCCTTGACTTTAGACCGAGAGCACAGAATTAGAGGATGTATGTTTTGAAATTCACTAGACTTGAGCTGGGCGAAAGATTACAAGTTTTTGTAACTTTTGACATGATTGTAGAGTAGCCATCAAGCGCTAAAAAACTCACCATATCACAGGATAGGCTGTGTGGAGTGCAGTCCACAATAAAATGTGATGTGTGTGTGTGTGTGTGTGTGTGTGTGTGTGGAAGGTATTGGAGCCCTGGATTACTGGAGGAGTGTGGAGTCCTGTGGTGTATTGATTAGAACACTTTCCAAAGAACATTAGTGAATTGGACAAGATTCAGAGGGGAGTTTCCCGAATTTTTAAGGTCTTAAATGCTGTTAAATTCTTAAACTTTGTGAACAAAGTCTTAAATTCTGTGGGGTCCTGTAGCTCAGTGGTTAGAGCACTCGCCTCGCAAGTGAGAGACCTGGGTTCAATTCCTGGCAGGGCGAAACCTTGGGTAAGTTTCCTTTCTCCACACGCCTGGTAATAATCCCTCAAGAAAAAAACCTAATAATAATTTAGTCACTCAATCCACGACTGTTTGTGGGACACTGCTGTGCGCAATTGGCTACCAAGTTTCACCCACAAATGTACAGTCAATTCACTTTACATTATATTCTGTGAAGCACTTTGAGATATCTCAAAGACACGAGAAAGCGCTGTATCAAATGAAAGGATTATTATTATTATAGCACTTGCCTCGCAAGCGAGAGGACCTGGGTTTGATTCCTGGGCAGGGTGAACCGTGAACCGTTAGGCAAGTTTCCTTACTCCACGTGCCTCTGTTTACCGAGCATCAAGTCGGACCCAGTTGTTAGTGGATTTGCCGATCGCTTTTCCGGGTGTAATAATCCCTTCAAAAAAATAATAATTTGGTAACTCATTCCATGACTGTTTGCGGGCCACTGCTGCGTGCAAATGCTTTGAGACGTCACGAGGACGTGATAAGGCGCTATATCAAATGCAAAGATTATTATTATTATATTGGCTTTATAGACTGAATTACCTTTTCTCAGTCAGTGTTTTCTCCTCATGCTTGTTTCATTTTACTTCAAGGTTCAGTAAGCGGGACCAAAGCTGAAACACTCATATGAAATTCATTGGTTCTGCACAGCTCAGTAATTATCTGTAGATTCAGGCAACCAGAACAGGACGCATAGTTATTATTTTTCACGGTTCCTTTGTCATCTCAGACGTTGTTTTATTCTTTTCGAGGGGATTAATTCCTTTCATTATTTAGTGTTTCCAAAGTCAAAAATGTTAATATTTACCAAGAATCAAACAGGGGAAAACTTTTCTGAACTTTGTCAGCACTTTTCAGAAACAATAATCATATGATTCTCAGAAATGAACTTTTTCTATATTCCCTATTTATTTCAACAAACAATCATGGACTTTTGTGATGTGAAAATTTTGCTGTGAAAGGATGTTACAATAACAATAACTTCACATTTACTTATTTATAACATGTTCATATGCTGGCATTTTCATATCTTTTATATTTTACGAGTTGTGATGCAACTTAAAGACTAATTTGCTTTCACTTCTCCTACAAAGTTTGTAATTGATATATTGTGAATGATATTGCAATATTTCTACATGATTATTATAATTACAGTATTCGATCCCACAAAGTGGCAATAGTTTTACAATGAAGCTCCAGTAACTGAACCAGTACATAACTGAATGTTGTTATGCAATATCTAATATAAGAGCTGGGATTGGAATTGAAATGGGAATAGAATTCACATTGGTATTCATACTAGTCCATCACCATGAGGTGCTTTAACAACAACAACTTGTATTTATATTCATATAGCATCCTTCATGTAGGAGTGCATTAAAATTAATAAAATCAATCATTTCATGGCAATCTTC